TAGTCGACTATAAATGTTTTATTTTGATTTATTTTGGAGGTGTGTGAGGGGGGGGGTGTCAGCTTGGGTGAAAAGATAAAATAATTTGGACCTCAAATCCTTTCGAACATTTGACCTGCTGGTGTGTAGACGTGAGATTATTTATAGAACCATTACCTCATGGCCACATTGCTTCAACGTTCTTCATTCACCCTTTTAAAAAATGTATACCCCTTTTCGATCCTGAATGGTCTGAAATATAAACAACTTAGCGTCACTTAGAACGACTGAGGGCTCTGATTAGTCAAACGCTGTAAGAACGGTAACTCCTAGCCCCTTCAAGCTTATTTACGTAAACAGATGACTGTGTAAGCGTGCCCTGCTAGCTCAGTTATGGGCTTTTAATCTTTCTGTTTTACAATTTGGACTTTAAAAATTCGTTTTTATTGTGTTTTAGAGGGGTTTTTTTAAACATTCATCTTTCTCTAGATCTCCCAAGGTCCTTATCAAGAGGCCACCGAGGCGGTCTATTTGCATGTGTGTGTATGTTTGTGTATGTGTGTGTATTTGTGTGTGTGTTATATGTGTGTGTGTGTGTGCGCTCGTGTGTTTATAGTGCTACTACAAACGTATAATTAGGAAGCGTAAACACGGCACGTAAGCCAACTCGCGGACTTCCGAGCGCATGGTTTCGGTGAAATCAAGGTAATTCAGATCGCTTTTTCTTTGTTATTTCGCTATAACACACCAAACGCTGTACACCTTGAAAAAGTTACGCTTTTTTCGTTACAATAGGGTAATTTGTTTGTTTTTCCGAGTACTTGGAGCTAGATCTAGAGAATCGCCATGAAAAGCCAAGCCCCTCGCGGAATGCTAGGTCTACAGGTTCAAAAATTGACACCCATGCATTCAAATACTTTGAAGAAAAAGTGATGACTGAATAGTCTTTTCATTGGCTAACAATTTCTTTAGAGTTTTAAACGGGGCTTCCCGTGGTATATTTTTGGCCTCTGGCGTTGAAGTAGAAAGCCTTTTAAAAAGTGGACAAGTTTTCAAAGATCACTTTTAACTCGAATTAGGTAAAGTACCGAACAAAAAAGGTAGCAATAGTAAGAGCAGTTCTTTTTCTAATAGAATAAAATCATCGGTTTGGAATTTTTTGCATCAATCCTTCCGCGAAAGTCTGGGGTGCACTCAGAACCCTACAGTTGGAGCCGACTCGCTAGCCGCGGGGACTAGTGCGGCGCCGGCAGGGACAACGCTCGGTGGGTTTTTTTGTGTTTTTTTTTTGTATTTGTTAAAATCGAAATAACGACTGATCATCGTGTTTGAGGCATTAAAATACTGATTTGTAATTATCTCATAGTCTTGAAACAAAATTAGGCTCCATTTCTATGTTATGGTGATTGTACTCTGTTAATTAATGTGGAGATGTTTGGTGCACGTGGTACTCTTTTATTACTTGTCAAACATGGGGTTGCAGCCAGTTAGCCAATTTAGCAATATTCGATTAAAGTGTTAAATTAAAACAGCTGCCATTTTCATAGATATTGACTGGGATGTAAAAGTATGGCACCAAAATTCACAGGAGACACTTGTCTTTTATTATGGAACAGATAAATTTGACGTACAAGTACTTTGAAAATTTATTTTCTGGTACCTATAATATAGCAGAGTTTACATGACAATGCTAATCCATTGTTGCATTGGAGGTGAAAATCGCATTCTCGTTAAAATATTGTTTTGTCCATAAGCTTTGTTTCTGTTAATGAATAGTTTTCTACTTCTGTGTGTTACCCTGTTGTGGCATAGCCAAGATAACTGCTAAATGTCAAGTCTCTGTCTCAATTCTAATACCCCTGTTGCTATGGAAACATGTTGCTCAACTTCGGAGCCCGTTTTCTCCTTTCGAGTTTCCGCATCTTGCATACTTAAAAGTTCCATATTTTCGTCAAATATTGTCTTATTCACTTAATTTTTCCCAAATTGTAGTGAAATAGTGATAGTTTTTGGAAATTATGTTAACTAAATTAATTTTGAAACTTCATTCATATGACTGATTTTGACAGGGAGGGACACAAATTTATTTAGTTTCGGAACCTTGAAAATCATGACAATATGGCATACTGGCTCAGGCGCTCTGAAAAACATGCCAGATCTGTCATACTGGGTTTTAAGGGTATAGGGTTTTGTGGAGGGTATTCTTATTATGAAATGAGAGCTAATTTAGGAAATAACAATGTTATTTTGATCTTAAAGATTAATAGGGTAATTTTTATGTCTAACGCTAAACGTACTTTGAGTATGAGCAACATGTACAACGATTACAAGCAAAAGATTATTCCTCATTTGCCGAAAATGCAGACTAATATCCCCTCTGATGGAAAACTGACTTTGAAATGGAGAACTTGTGAGCCAAACTTGTTTCTAATGAAAGTGATTTCCTATCCTCGTGAAGCAAATGGCGATGAGGACAGCGATGATGTTCATCCTTTTTCAAGTTTAAAACACATACTTGGCATGCTAAGAGACCAAAAGTCCTGCTCTGGTGATGAATAAAATGTTCCTCTTGCTCATCTGAGAGATGACATAATGCAGGGAGAAAAAATCACATTTCAAGATGATGGAGAAATCATGAGAAGGATAACTGATGATCTGATGTGAATGAACCTAACGAAGGCAGCTATTGGCAACACATTCCAGAGAGCTACTGAGACTCCTGGCTCCTCCAATGGAACTGAAATCCCCATATGAATTCTAAGAAATCATTACGGATAACATGATTGAAAATATTTTTTAAATATTGTTTTCCCCTTTTTTCATGTTTAGATCTATTGGTCATCCTTAATACGTCATCTCCCCTTCCAAGATCTAAACTATTTGTTGTCTTTGGAAGGGGTTGTTTCATGTCGGAAAAATCCGAGAAAACAGATTGAAAGAATGCTCTCACAAAATCGAGAAAGAACTGAGGAATCTCTCAAGAGAAACAATGGACAGTGTTCTTGAGGCTGAATCAAACATAATTACTGTCCGTTTGTATGAATACATGAATGTTGACATGGTTCTCAGATATGACAAGAATAGAAGCAAAAATTTGAAGTTCCTTAATGTCGAACTATATTCTTTTTATCCAAACCTACAATAAGCACCTGGGAGGTGTGGGTCTCCTGAATTCACAGATAGCTTCATACAAGGCAAAGAACAATACCCGCCTCTTTCATTCTTAAATCTTCTTCCATCCCCTGAGCATCGTTGGATGAGTGTCATTGTAAAATGCTCAATATGCCACACACGAAGCTTTCAAAATTCTAGACCCCGGTAGCTGACAGTGACAGCCTGATCAACATCAGAAGACGTACTCCTGGCCGATCATCACTGGACAGCTCTGGATGTTAACCACCACCGTCGTCATTGTCCGCGGGATCCACATTCACGCATCCATCAAAAGTGGATCCTGACGCAACTTGCCATATTCCTGCATACAGCCATTAAGGCAGTTTTACAACCTTCAGCAATGTCATCAGCTTAATCAAAGACAGAAATTGTTTCAAAATTTAGCATACTTTAAGACTTTTTTGAAGGACTCAGTGACAGAGTGACAATTTCCAGGATGCCAGATCTGTCCACGGTGCTTTAAAAGCCCAAATATGATATAGAATAATCTGTCCTTTTATCACATAACTTCGTTATTCAAAGTTTTTTTCGAGAAAAATTCACCAGATACCTTCTATTGTTATCATTTGACATTCATGTCGCAAATATTATTTTTTCCTCTATCCATTAAAGAAGAAAGAAAAGACGCCAAAAAACGTTTTCTTATTTTTACTTTGTCTTTATTTTCCTCAGTGTGTCAGTTGAGGTTTGAAAAGTGCACGAATATAATTTAGCGTCTTGGCAATTCTGACAAAGAAAAACATTCCAGGATGTGTATTATCTTTTCATTTAAAGTAATAACCGTTCTAAAAGGCAAAAACAGACGCAGATTGCCAATTGGTAGGGAATATATGACTGTTGTAAAATTATCCTGGAAAAACTGTTTTATTCAGGCTATTTGCATAATTCCAAAATTAGGAAAATTCTCTAATCGTAGTTTTAATCCAATCAAGGAGAACTCTGGCGTCTGCGTACACTCCTGGTTTGTATTGTTGGGCGCACCCTTCTCCCCAGCTCACAATACCTGAAAGGAAAGAAAGCAAATACATGACAGTGGTTTATGTGGGTGGTACGATCGAGTCACGAATTCTCAACTGTGGGAGAGAACAGGCAAAAGGCCTGTAAAGGAAGATATTCAGGTGAAGAAATGGAAATGGATTGGACATACCTGAGGAGACCCCCGACAAGCATCATCAGGCAGGCTTTAACGTGGAACCCACAAGGAAAGCGTAAGAAGGGAAGACCAAAGATGACATGGAGGCGAGCGGTACAAGCGGAAATTGAAAAAGCGGGGACATCATGGAAACAGATAGAAAATGATGCTCAGGACAGGCTTCGCTGGAGTAATGTTGTTCCACTGGGAGTTAAAAAGGGCAAGAGAGAGAGAGGGGGGTTTATGTGGGTGTAAAAATCGTAAATCATTCATGGAAAGAGCCCTAAGATCCATGAGTAGAGGGACCTATATAAATCGATTTATCATAACTAGTTTCACTATTATTACTTCTACTTTCTATCATCATTATTGTTAATATTATTATTGTTATTACTATTATTATTATTATTATTATTATTATTATTATTATTATTATTATTATTATTATTATTATTATTATTGTTCTTGTTGTTATTATTATTATCATCATCATCATTCTTACAGTTGTTATTATTGTTATATATCATTATTCCTATTCTTATTATTCTTATTCTTATTCTTATTCTTATTCTTATTCTTATTTTTGTATATTATTATTATTATTATTATTATTATTATAGAGGAACAGCCATCTCATTAAAACGAGAGTGGTTTGACACTTTAAAAAATACAAGGTGATGTTGTTCGTCCTTCGCATTTGAAGATGACCATGACTTCACAAATTGATCTGTTGACGGTTACTGTGAGTCCGGAGATGGCTGATAAGTCCTATCCGGGCTCGAATGGTTCGCCCACATTGTGGGCACGGGTAGTCTGCTGTTGGACTTGTGGTGGAGGCAGGTCTGGACTTGCGCACGTTGCGTTTTTGTTTAGCCTCGGCGATTCGCTTGGCCTCTGCTGCTTTGGCTCCCTTCGTTAGCTTGCAGCGCCACGTTGGACGATCTTGCGCCAGCGTTTCACACAAGTCGTTCAGGATTCCAAGTTCCTTGAGGGAGACTTTGAGGCAGTCCTTGAAACGTTTTTTCTGCCCCCGAACTGAGCGCTTGCCATGAAGCAGCTCTCCATACATCAGCTGTTTGGGCAACCTGCTGTCCGCCATTCTGATCACGTGGCCGGCCCATCTGGCTCGCGTTTTGTGGAGGATGGTATAGATGCTGGGTGTTCCGGCTCGCTCTAAAACAGCAGTGTCTGGGGCTTTGTCCTGCCATCGGATGCGGAGGATTTTACGAAGACAGCTCAGGTGGAACCGGTTGAGCTGCTTGGCGTGTCTGCTGTAGACAGTCCAGGTCTCGCTGGCGTAAAAAAGAATGGTAAGAACCACTGCCCGGTTGACCTACAGTTTTGTGGAGAGGCTGACTCCTCTGCGCTCCCAGACATTCTTGCGAAGCCTTCCAAAGGCGGCGCTGGCCTTGGCAACTCTGGTGTTTATTTCAGCATCTATATGAACGGCTCGTGAAAGTGTGCTGCCTAGGTATGTAAAGTGGTCAGCTGCCTGGAGTTTCTGTCCCTTCACCATGATGTGTGGCACTGTGTATGGTTGACCAGGGGCTGATTCGTACAAGACTTCGGTTTTCTTGGTGTTGATGGTGAGGCCGAAGTTGTCACAGGCTAAGGTGAAACAGTTAATTTCGTTTTGCATACACTCTTCTGTGCTAGCGTTGAGTGCACAGTCATCGGCGAAGAGGAGTTCCCTGATGACTGTTTCTTTCACCTTGGTAGCAGCCTGGAAGCGCCTGATGTTGAACAGCCTGCCGTCGGTTCTGTACCTGATCCGGATGCCATCTTCACTGCTGTGGAAGGCATCTGTTAGCATGGCGGAGAATACCATGCTGAAAAGAGTTGGGGCAAGGACACACCCTTGTTTAACGCCGTTGGTCACAGGGAAGGTGTCTGACTCGTCTCCGTCCCCTAACACCTTCACCATCATACCATCGTGAAGCTGTCTGACGATGGTGATGAATTTACTTGGACATCCATACTTCTCCATGATCCGCCACAATCCTTCTCTGCTGACAGTGTCGAAGGCCTTCGTTAAATCCACAAAAGTCACGAGTAAGTCGCAGTGTTGCTCCTGGCATTTTTCCTGGAGTTGGCGGGCGGCGAAGATCATGTCTGTAGTTCCTCTTTTGGCCCAGAAGCCGCACTGAGTCTCTGGGAGGAGTCCCTGTTCCAGATGATGGAGGAGGCGGTTCAGTAGGACGCGGGCCAGAATCTTGCCGGCTATAGACAGGAGTGAAATTCCCCGGTGATTATCACAATTCTGCCGGTTGCCCTTCCTCTTATAGATGTGGATTATGTTGGCATCTTTAAATTGTTGTGGGAACTTTCCCTCGTTCCACATGACCTGGAATAGTTCAGTCAGCTTTTTAAACATATTCGGGCCTCCTGCTTTGTACACTTCGGCAGGGATTTCGTCGGGTCCTAAGGCTTTGCCGTAGATTTGTTTTGTTGCCTCTCTGACTTCTTCTTCCGTGGGGAGGGTGTCAAGGTCCTTGTTGATGGCCACTTGGGGTAGGCGGGCGATGGCCTCATCATTTATTGCAGCAGGACAGTTGAGAACGATGTTGAAGTGTTCGGCCCATCTTTCCAGTTACTGCTTCTTCTCTGTGAGCAGCTGTAACCCATCCGCACTGAGAAGTGGGGAGGAGCCAGAGGGCTGGGGCCCGTATAGTGCTTTCAGTGCGTCATAAAATCGCTTAGTGTCGTGCCTAGGCCTGGATTTCATCGGCTTTGTTTTTGTACAATTTTTCTTGCATGTCTCTGAGTGATTTCTGTACCTTTGCTTTTGCGTTCTTGAAGGCGTCCTTTTTGGCGTGCGACGTTGGGTCGTTCTGGTGCGCTCTGAGCAATCGATATTTTTCGTTCAGTATAGCTTCAATACTTTCGTTATTTTCGTCGAACCAGTCCTGGTTTCTGCGGACTGTTGGCCCAAGGTGTTCGAGGGCTGTGGAGTAGACAGTGTCTCTAAAGGCACTGTTCATCGACGCTGGTCTGGTCGTTTTGAGTTATGCCGGATAATCTGTCTTCTGGGTCGTAAGAGAAGTTTGTTGCAGCTCTTGTAGATTTAAGTTTGGTGACGTTCAGC